TGATAAGGAATTATCGATCGCTTACCGAGTAATTGGTATAATCGTTTCAGCCCTAGCCATGATACATGTTCAGATATGAACCCAAGCTGAGAAATGAATACGCACTCTTCCATTTATGGGTCCACGAAAGGCAAAACAGGAAGTAAAGTTTAAAAAAACCACGTTTTACAGCATTGTGTACAAAGTACAAGCTTCACCAACTTTATAATTACCTACTTGTTGCCCCCAAAAAAGCGGCGTGCCAAGGCCCATCGAGCACTCGGAGACTGTGATCGCATGCATGAGCAAACAGATTTCAGCACTTTTTCAGGTACAAAAGCTCAAAAAGGGCGATATTCACCAAAAAACGCAATAAAGGGCGAAAGAAACGGACTTTTCCAAAAAGGGCCAAAAAGGGCGAAAAAAGGGCGAGCACCTTTGGGAAAGGGCTACCCCCTATAAAAAATACACTTTCCACTGCCGAGGTTATCACCCCGAATGACAGTTCCCCCCGAAAGATAGTAAGTTCAAACCCGTCCTACATGTACAGACACCGTACAGTACATACATCATATGCACGGACACTAGAGTTGCGCAGGCTTCCCACTGCGTGTCATTTACCCCCGTTAAAAAAGTACTCCCCCGAAAGATAGTACCACCCCCGAAAGTTAGTACTCATGTGGCTGCTTAGTTCGAAAGTTAGTACGTACTAACTTGCGGGGAAATACGGTAGCTCTTTTTGAAATAAAAGTGTTAGAAAACTCATCTTATGATGATACATGTAGGGTCACACCTCTTGACGTGTAAAGCCAAGAGGCGGTGCTGAGGTTCAAGAACATGTACGTTGTCGAGGACAACCCCTGGAATCTACAACATCTGCAAAATACCTGGGTGTTGTAATCGACAATGACCTCTCCTGGCAGCCACATATCAGCCATGGCACACGGAAGAGCGGGCCAGTAATTGGACAGCTATGGCGACACGGCAGGTCCCTGAGCCTAGGAGCCCGCCAAGTCTGGTATGTCAGCATGATACAAGCTAATCTGTCTTATGGATCCAATTGTCTCTTCTCCAGTCTTTCAAAGCAGCTCCTGGATAAACTCCACAGCCTGTAAAAATCCGGTGTCAGAGCGACCCTGCAGCAAAGAACTCTGGTCCCGACTGCCCCCCCCCCCCCTTCTCGAGCTACCGGGTGTGCCAAGCTTGCGACAGCTTCTCTTTCAGAAACTTGCCACCTTCGTCTTCAAATGTTTGAATGACAAGACAAGTACCCTATTTAGGAGAAAGAAACTGTTCGTGCCGATCAACGACCCTGCCACCCCTCAGCTGCGGACGACACGTGGTCAAGTGTCAAGCCTGCTGAGGGTTCCATTCCTCCCTGACCCAGCTGGACGTCGTTCGATTCAGTTTGCTGGGAGCATTCTGTGGAATACCCTCCCAGTTGCCGTCCGTACGGAAGGCGATTGGCGGACATTTAAAGCTCTTGCCACGGCTCTCGTGCCGATCAACGACCCTGCCACCCCTCAGCTGCGGACGACTCGGACACGTGGTCAAGTGTCAAGCCTGCTGAGGGTTCCATTCCTCCCTGGCCCAGCTGGACGTCGTTCGATTCAGTTTGCTGGGAGCATTCTGTGGAATGCTCTCCCAGTTGCCGTCCGTACGGAAGGCGATTGGCGGACATTTAAAGCTCTTGCCACGGCTCCCGACTTGCCCAGCCTGTACCCATATTAACATTTTGTGTACCTAACTTCATGTCGAAATCCATTTTAACAATCCGCATATCTCTCCTCCCCCTCTCTCTCTGTGTCTCTGTCTCGGACACACACACACTCCTTCTCTCTCTCTCTCTCTCTCTCTCTCTCTCTCTCTCTCTCTCTCTCTCTCTCTCTCTCTCTCTCTCTCTCTCTCTCTCTCTCTCTCTCTCTCTCTCTCTCTCTCTCTCTCTCTCTCTCTCTCTCTCTCTCTCTCTCTCTCTGTCTCTCTCTGTCTCTCTCTCTCTCTCTCTCTCTCTCTCTCTCTCTCTCTCTCTCTCTCTCTCTCTCTCTCTCTCTCTCTCTCTCTCTCTCTCTCTCTCTCTCTCTCTCTCTCTCTCTCTCCCTCTATCTATCTATCTATCTATCTATCTATCTATCTATCTATCTCTCCCTCTCTCTGTTGTTGTTGTTGTTGTTGTTGTTGTTGCTGTTGCTGTTGCTGTTGCTGTTGCTGTTGCTGTTGCTGTTGCTGTTGCTGTTGCTGTTGCTGTTGCTGTTGCTGTTGCTGTTGCTGTTGCTGTTGCTGTTGCTGTTGCTGTTGCTGTTGCTGTTGCTGTTGCTGTTGCTGTTGCTGTTGTTGTTGTTGTTGTTGTTGTTGTTGTTGTTGTTGTTGTTGTTGTTGTTGTTGTTGTTGTTGTTGTTGTTGTTGTTGTTGTTGTTGTTGTTGTTGTTGTTGTTGTTGTTGTTGTTGTTGTTGTTGTTGTTGTTGTTGTTGTTCTTGCTGTTGTTATTGCCGATCCTGTTGTTGTTGGTAATTCTGTGAGAGCTTGGTCAATTCACTTGTTCAGGCAATATAGCAGTCTCTCTCTCTATCTCTCCTCTCCTCTCCTCCATTTCTCTCTCTCTCTCTCTCTCTCTCTCTCTCTCTCTCTTTCTCTCTATCTATCTCTCCTCTCTCATCATGCATGTGTCACACGCGCATGTAATATTTCTCTTATAAGATCGCATGCTTCACACTCTCATGTAATATTTCTTTACTTTCTTCGTCTTTTTGTGAGAGCTTGGACAATCTACTTGTCCAGGCAAGAAGGCAGCAATGCCTGTTCATTCTGGCGAAGTAAAATAAAATATACCAACCAACCAACCAATTCAAGCGGGAGTGCCTTCCATATGATTACATGGTTCTGCCAATTATTTCACTGCTTTCAAATTGAGTAAAATGTGCCAGTTTTTCGAGCCTTATCCACCAATCTTGAACCCTCCCTGGAATCACATAGCCAGAATAGAGTGTTTTGGTCAGTTTTGAGCACATGGCTAGTCACTGTGGAGAAAAATTAAAAACAAATTTAAATGTAATAACGGAAGTGCAATGTAGCTGCTTAGGTACTATTCGGTCTGCTTCACCTTGCAGTACATGTACTTGATGCAACTACACTTACAAGTCATGTACGACTCGTACATGTACTTGCACAGGACTGTATTCATTTTTTATTTTGTTTTGTTTTGTTGCTGCTGTAGAACGCTCCACACAGAAATTGGAGGTGCCGAACAAGCGCTGAGGATCGTTGGCCATTCACAACGTTGTTAACTCCAAACCATCTAATTCGCAAGCCCGCTCTGGGGACAACACTGTCAAGAACAGGTTGGTACGTACGACTTCGGCGATACATGTACTTGCATGGGGAATTGTGTGTTGCTCCCCACATGGGACTGCGCGGCTCGCGCTATTCCTGCCGACTTGAATTTTCCCTTGACTGACTCACGACTGCCATCCAGAGCACACGAGAAGTCCATCGAACCGTCCACTTGGCAAACCTGCAAGAAAGCACAACTCCCTGCTCAATACAGAGTGTTTCGGGGAACTCACCCCTCATCAGTTGAGCCCCAAGACTGGCAAGAGCGATACTGATTCACGCTGCCATCTGTTGTTCACTGTTTCCGAACACAGTGTCCTCCACCTTGTTTCATGCTGGCAATCTAACAACATGTTCGTCTATGTCGTCAGTTTGTCGAAAGTGGTGTTAATCTAACTTTTATTCTTGTTGGCAGGGTCCAGTCTACAGCCACGTGGCTGACTGCAGCACTGGCCGGAGCATGATATGATGTGAGCTGAGGTGGACTATCTAAAAGACTAAATCCAGAAAAATACAGACTCAGTGTATATAAAACCACCCACATCACAAATTCTGTGGTAAGGCCTATGGATGGTATCTGGTACATGGTACGTTTGCAACAGGTATTACGTACAAGTCACGGTGGCGATTAAGGAACAGTAAAGAAGGGTCGGGCCAATCGTGGGAATTTCAGACATATTGTGCGCCCTACGTGGTGCGCGAAAACTCACGCACGGAGGACATGTCTTTAGATAAAGTTTTGTTTTGCTTAGTGTCACAGATCATTATCAGTGAACGAGTTATGTATACACATGTACAGGGTCAGTACATGATTGTGTTTGTACATGTATGTGCAGTCAGGGATAAAGAAATCCGGACCACGTGCCAACACTTAATTGCTTGCAAAAGTAGCGCCAAGGCTCGTGCCAGTGGGGCCTGCGGCCCTCACTGCCTCAGATCTGTTTTTGGAGCGTGCATGAACCGCAGCACTACTTTGGACTCGTGGCTGGGATTTCTTTGGCCACAGCTACTGTATGTCATGTAACTCGTACAGTCATGTAGATGTGCACGTAGATGTGTACGTAGATCTACGACACGCGTTGCGCCAATCAATCATTCGACTGTTTTGAAGTGTTTTCGACAGGGAGTCGTAAAAGCCCACGACGCCCTGGTTTTCGAGTTCCACAGGGACTACAATTTACAAATGTGGTACAAGAAGACTAGTTTCACACAGATTACACTGAGAACCGAATTAGCTACTGAGCATAGGGTTGGGCTAGAGGGACGTTAAGGCGTCAGAGCTGCCAGTATCAGTGGTACGGTTTCACAATTCGATATAACTACTAGTAACCATGGTAACCGTTACTTACAAAACGTTACTGTGTTACTAATTGTCTTAGTTCTGTCTGATCGATCTGACCGCTGAGCGTTGGCTGTGCTATCTTGTCAGGCGATGCAGACCCCATATTTTGGCCATGTACTGTACATAATACATGTTGATGGTGATTGTAGATCTACCAGGATACGTGTCATACTTAGTTCTGGAGTGACGTTGTGAGTCAGGTGAGTGCGAACCCTTGTGGCTCGCGTTGGGGTGTACCTGGTTCGGGTTTCATGCTCCTCAACATCTAAAGCAAGTACTGAAGTATCTACTGACTGTAAGCGTCGTAAGTAACTGTCCTCGTAACAGTGAAGTAACGTTTCAGCCACTCGTTTAGTTTTTGTAGCCTTTAGCTGGTAGAAATGCTGCTTAGTCAGTAACAGCCTACGCTTGGAAGGAGTACGTACATGAGCAGTGGGATTTTATCTTCTCGTATATAATTAGCGCAGTGCTGTACCTGGTCGACTGGATGGAGTTCACTAACCGTCTTTAGAACTCCGAAAGTAGTTGTCGCTTGCCGAGCTCTTCAGCAACATTACATTTTCTTGTCTCCTTCTGTATCTCCCTTGGAAGACCGATACGTGTCGTGAGTCGGAGGAGCTTCGGAAACATTCAACATGGAACGCCACTGCCTTCTAATCGCAGCTGTTCTCGCATCGACGGTGTTGGTCTTTGCACATGGAGCCTCAAGTATGGACTAACTTACTTTAGGAATCGAATGATACATGACCTGACGATGTGCACATGTGTTTCACTCTCGAGATCTCAGTCCGTTTTTATCACTTATTGCTATGCATATTTTTGTACATGCGTTACGAAAACAGGAGCAATCATTTTCGCCTGTAAGAATCCCCCCCCCCCCGGGCCCCCCCCCCCTTCCAATCCTACATGTACGTCACATGCATGCCGAAAGCAGGGAGCAGTACAGTGTACTGCATGTAGTACTTCAAGTGTAGTAATACTCTCTGGAAGCAATCATTAAATTGATTTTTTTTACTTATACCTGCATGTACATGTAGGTAGGGGTCACTGAAATTAGTATAATATACATATGTAGCGTAGACATGGGCAAAATGAGCTACCTGACATCAAGTACCATAATGACATTATGGTACTTGATGTTCAAGTTATTGGCAGGGAAGGGAATTACTTGTACAATGTCATGTAGATGCAGGCTGCAAAGTACAGTAGGACGTGCAATATAATGCAATGCACTGGTGGGTTATGCATACTTGTACATGTAGTTCAGTAGTTCTATCTGCTGGCATACCTCCACTGCACTGGCATCCAGTAAAAGCTGCAGTCCACGGCTCCTATTCAGAGTCTGAATATGACCATCAATTTGCTGTGAAAGAACAAAATTTTATCTTAGACTTCCACAATGTTGTGCAAATCTTGCAGCTTATGCTGCTATGTAATTTGTACAAAGTATGTCTGGCAAGCAAAAATTGTACCTCAGAAGTATGTCCAGAATACCAACTCAAAAATATTATGTGTGCACATGTGTTGTATGTATGTGTATGTGCAATTGTGTGTGTGTGTGTGTGTGTGTGTGTGTGTGTGTGTGTGTGTGTGTGGTTGTGCGTATGTGTGTGTGTGTCCCTGTCCATGTGACGTGCATAATGCTTCTGTCTTCTTTGCCGCACATCAGTTGTCCCAAAGCCGCCGAAGGACTGTTCCAATATAGCGTGCACTCTCCAGCACTGCCCTGAAGGCCAGTCTTCAGTCCTTTTACCAGGAGAATGCTGTCCACATTGCGGTACGTAGCCAAACAAAAACTTGTCGGCATAATTGTGTGGCATGCAGTGCCGCAGGTGGGAGAATATATTTTTACAATCCTGTACTGTTCAAGACTGCCCAGGGAGCAGGTTTTGATCGTCCATGTGTCATAGCCCGGGAGTGAGGGCTTGTAACTTGTAACTTACTTCTGGTAGCTACTGTGCGTAGAACGTGGACACACTATGTCTTCCGTAGTTGGAACAGTTATGTACTCTTGATGATAGGTTTGGCTGCTTTCAATAGATGAAGCGCACGACTGTGCACTTGCGGTAGAAAGTGCAATACAATGTAATTATGAATTCGCAATATAGTAGTAGTACGCGAGGTGTGGATGAGTGTGAGTGCACCTACTTGACCACTTGGTTGGCAATGCTTTTAATCAGGTTATTGCAGTCCAGACGCCGGGTCTAGTCTCGCCCCTTTCTAATACTCTTTCACACTTTGCATATTTATGTTATCATGATGACCGCCGCTTCTAGATCACGCAGACCTGTGCGTGTATGTGTATGCGTGTGCGTGTCCGATCGCCGTTCCGCGCAGAGGACAAAGTAGCAGTTTAGCTGCATGTTTAGCAAGTACTATCGCTACTGCCCCTGCTTGCTGTTTTCTACAATGTGTTATATCATAGCATGCTGTTGCTTTTAGCGAGAGGTTCTTTCGGTGCTCTTCTTCCAAACAGTGAACATATTCTCTGCTCTGACGAGATCAGTTGGTTATGTGTGTGTTGGGTTAGGACTGGGTGAAGTTGCGTTATGCCAGCCGTGACTATACTTGTCACAAAACGTTCCGAGGGTTAGAGACGACACAGCCATGGGCGAGACTAACCGGAATGCTGTCCGAGCGAGTTATCACAAGTGGTGCTGTGACCAGGATGGCTGGCAAGAACGAGGCAACAAAGTTCACCATTCCTAGAAGAGGCGCGAAGATCTCGGCCAGGCGCTTGTAGACGGTGCAAGCGCAGTCTAAGTATATTGAAGATGTTCAATGTATCCTGCCTCACTACTGGTTGTGTTGTTGTGGGTGCGGAAACTGGCCTCCACCAGGGAACAAAGAGGTTTGTTCTCTGTTGTGCTCGATAGGCATGGCGCAGTGATGACTGAGCTGCCTTTTGTGATGAGAATTGCATGCTGCATGATGGGCATACAGTTCGTAAGGAGGGGTATGGATGTGTCGTATCTCTCTAGTCTGTTTGGTCTAGTCCTCAGGCTGGGATGCCAGCCGGAGTGATTAGGGTGAAATATTGGCGGCCTTTTGCGCGAGGAATCATGGCATGATGTTGAGAGGCATGCATGATGCGGCTTGCACTGGTCGGCTTGGCTAAATGTGTGATGAACGGGAATCCGGATGGCGCACGAGGCTCCGCGAGATGTCGCGAGTCAGGCGTGGGATCGGGAAACCTGATGCGACGGTGGTCGCTTGGCATGTTCACACGGCGGTTAGGGTTACAGTGGTTGAGTACGCTGTGCCCACGTGCAATTGGGGTGTGCACTCGTAGGCGCGCGCGGGCCGTGATCGGACGGCAGCGGCGTGGCTGATTATATCAGGCGAGCTGAGGCGAAGAGGATTGAGTTCTTCGCGGATCAGTCGTCCTGCTAGCACTATTTGTCTACTTTGCTCATTCTTTTGCTGTGTTGACGATGGCTCAGCAACAGCAACAACAAGGCAGAGGTGTGAATGCGCCTGCTGCGAATGTTCATCAACCGTTAGTAGCTGGTGGTGCTGCTGCGGTGGGTGGCCCTGGTGCAGCGATGGCTGCAGCAGGGGGAGCGGTAGCTGGTGCTGGAGGAGCGCCAGTTGCTCCAGCCTTCGGGAGGCCTGCGGTGATGCCCAAGGCCTACGATGGTTCCGGAGACTGGGTGGAGTATATCCAGTACTTCGATCAGTGCGCGCAGGTGAACGGGTGGAATGACCCGCAGAAAGCGCAGTACTTAGCGGTACGCCTCAGAGGTGGGGCGCAACGCTTTTTGGCTACTATACCGGCTGCAAGACGGGCCGTATGGCAGCATGTGAGTGCGGACCTTGAGCGAAGGTTCGCACCACCTGCTAATGAGCGGCAGTTTAAGGCTCAATTCCGCACGAGGAGGCGTAAATCCGGTGAGGATTTAGCGCATCTGGCGGATGATCTGCGTCGGCTGGTGGTGCGGGCGTACCCCAACATGCCGGGTGGGTTACAGGATGAGCTGGTGAGGGACCAGTTCATCGAGGCGGTATCTCCTGTGGCCTTGAGAGTGAGGCTGCAGGAGAATCCTCCGGCGACGGTGCAGGCGGCATTAGAGATGGCGCTGCACCTGGAAAAGGTTTGGCGAAGTGTTGACTTGCCAAGCGAAGCTCCGCAGAGGCTGGTGGGCCCCTACGGAGAGAGCCAGCAAACACAGTTGGTGACGGCCGCTGTGGATGTTGCTGAGGCTCCAGCGAGAGGACAGACGGACGTCCTCGAGCGTACTTTGAGCAGCCTGGTGAGGACGCTCGACCAACTACTGGAGAGGCGTGATGCTCCAAGTGGTCAAGGAGGGCGAGGCCGAGGAAGAACTCGGGATCAGGAGCCCGCTCGACGAGTGAGGATGTTCACTTGCTGGAACTGTGGTGAACCGGGCCACAGGGCAGCCCAATGTCCTCGTGAAGCGCAGACGGGGCGCGGAGGATACGATGGCTCGAGGAGGGGGCCTTTGGGAAACGGCCAGTGACTGGGGCGATGGCCCACGTGCCTGGTCAGACCATTTCTTTGGGTCGAGAGTGTAATCCGGCAGCACCTGATGAGCGTGCTGTCGAACAATCCATTCCTTTGGTCGGATGCGACTCTGGAACGGGGATGTTGACCACGGGGACAATCGATGGGTTGTCAGTGGAGATGCTGGTAGATACTGGAGCGGCTGTAAGCTTAGTATCTGCGGATCTAGCCAGGAAGCTGGGCTACGATCCGGATCGACTCACGGCGGATGCGCTTGGGTTGAAGTTTTGCGGGGCAGATGGTAAGCCTTTGGTGGTGAACGGAAAAGTGGTTGTTCACCTTGGCGTTCAAGGATGTGTTTGTTCGCCGGAAATGCGGGTAGTCGATGGGCTACGATTTCCATGTGTGCTGGGACGTGATGTGCTGTCCAGCATTCCCTGTAACATAACCTCTACGAATGGCAAGCTATGTTTCAAGGTCGAAGAAAGGCGAGGGGGTGGTGCAGATGAGGCTCCGCTCCGCTTGCAGGAGAAGATTGTTCTCCCACCACACCACGAGATGACCGTGGCGGCTGTGGTGGACACTCTTGCATTCGATGGGATGCCAGAGTTGGGGCTCACGGAACCAGATTGTGGAACTGCGAGCGACCCTGGTCTCTTGGTGGCAAAGTGTGTTGTGCGGCCACAAGAGAATCGTGTTCCCGTGCGATTGATGAATTGCACGGCGGAACAAATCACTCTGCCCAAGAGAGCCCAGATTGGCAAGCTGTGTGCAGTTGCAACTGTGGTGGACGGTAGTGAAGAGTTGGACGAGGCGAATGACTGGTGTAGCTACGGGGCTAACCAGGACTTGTGGTCTGTACTGCGAGTGGGGAACCCCGATGGTGGTCCCGGCGCAGGGAAGCGCTCTCCAGGCGGGAAGAGGCTGCTTGAAACCGGTGGTGGTGATGACGATGGTCGGTCACATCATTGTGCGATGAGGGATGATGAGGCAGTACACGAGGCCGACGTTGACCAGCGTGGTCGTGGTACGATGCCTGATGGCTGTTGCTCTCAGGAGGGTAACCGGGAGGCATGCTCCCCACCTGATACAGGCAACAGCGAGCAGCCTGTGGTTGAGGCCGAGCAGTTGGCTAGGCTCAGAACCTTGGTCGAGCAGTACAGATGTGTATTCGCTATGAACATGTCCGAGCTGGGTAGGACAGACGTGTTGAAACACGAGATTAGGACTAGCTGTGATGGTCCAGTTTATGAGCCCGCAAGGAGATTGCCTTGGAGCTCGCGAGAAACATGTCGGAAGTTGGTTGACGACATGCTTGAACAGGGTGTGATCGAAGAATCGGTCAGTCCATGGTCTGCACCAGTTGTGTTGGTGCGGAAGAAGGACGGATCGACGAGGTTCTGTGTTGATTATCGGAGAGTCAATGCGATAACCGTGAAAGATCCATACCCACTCCCGCGTATTGATGATACGTTGGACGCGTTGGGCGGTGCGATGTACTTCTCGACGCTTGATCTGTGCTCTGGGTATCATCAGATGCCAATGGACGAGGCAGACAAGGCCAAGACGGCATTTTCCACGCCTGATGGGCACTATGAGTTCCACGTGATGCCATTTGGTGTGTGCAATGGCCCGAGCTCATTTCAACGGCTGATGAGTGCCGTTTTGCGAGGTTTGCAGTGGCATATGTGCCTGGTATACCTCGATGATATTATCGTGTTCTCAAAGACGTTTGACGAACACTTGGAACGACTGGAAGCAGTGTTCCAAAGACTACTGGAGGCTGGTCTTCGGTTGAAACCCTCGAAATGTCATCTGTTGAGGACAGAAGTCAATTTCTTGGGTCATGTTGTCACGAAGGATGGTGTGCGCACCGATCCGGACAAGATTGAGACCGTGTCAGAGTGGCGGTGCCCAAAGAACGTAGCAGAGGTGCGTTCTTTTATGGGTTTCTGTGGCTACTATCGACGGTTTGTGAAGGATTTTGCATCCATTTCTCGGCCGCTGGTGAAGCTGACGAGGCAAAATCAGAGGTTTTCATGGGATGGCGAGTGTGAGATCGCATTCCAATTGCTGAAGCAGAAGATGTCTTCAGCACCCACGTTGGCGTATCCGAGGTTTGAGACCGATGCGCCCCCATTTGTGGTCGATGTGGACGCAAGTGGCCATGGTTTGGGAGCTGTGTTGTCCCAGACCGACGCAGATGGTCGGGAGCGACCTATTGCGTATGCAAGCAGAGGGTTGAACTCTGCCGAGAGGAATTATGGCTCGACGAAGAGTGAACTCCTCGGACTAGTGTGGGCATTTAGGCA